ATAGGAGGGGTGAATTTTAAAGGTAATGTTTTCAGTTTTTCTCCATTCACTGTAGTGTTGGCTTTGGGTCTGTTTTATATAGCTTTTATTACGTTGAAGTAGGTTCCTTCTATTTCTAGTTTCTTTAGTACTTTTATAATGAATTTGTGCTGAATTTTGTCAAAGACCTTCTCTACATCTATTGAGATGACTATGTGATTTTTATCCTTAATTATATTTATGTGATGAATTTAATTTATTGATTTGTATATGATAAACCATCCTTGCACCCCTGAGATAAAACCAATTTGGCTATGATGTGTGATCTACTATGTGGTCGAGGTTTTCAGAGAATGCCATGCAATCAAAAGGCAAAAGCTAAAAGGAAAGGAAAGCCAGTCTCTTCATGTCACTAAAGGAATGACACCAGACAGGGATCCAAAGAAGTCCCTTCTAGGGAGCAGTGGAATCTCAGCTTGGGCTGAGTGGGTTATTGACCTCCACCATTGTCAAAAACAAGGCACAAGCAAATATTTATTAAAAGACAGCGAAACAAAGGTATACATGCCCCCAAGATAGGTTGCAGATACCCCTTGCTTCTCAGAAAAGAGAAGACAGTGATGCGCTTTCTTCCTTATATAGGACTTTCCCTATATAAAGGAAGAAAAGTGCAGGTTCACAGGCAAACTTTTGTTGTGAAAGTCAAATCCCATGTTCATCATTTGATATTTGCGGTTCAGAATGTTTCTTCCTGGTTAAGTAGAGTAGCCATAAATCAGTATCGGTCTTTGAAGCTGGTCACATTTAAATCGATTATGTTTTCTTTCTGATTGATCTGGTACAAGCATATGCTGGAGGCTTTCTTCATCTAAAGAGACAAGCAGGGCTGATCATGCTCATAGATTGGGTCTTCTTCTACTAAGGACCACTTTCTCTCTCTGCCTGGGAGTCCACCTATCTCAGTAATTATAAATGCTCAATAATAGTAGTAGAATTAGCCAACCATGGTGGCATGCATTTGTAATCCCAGCAACTTGGGCTGAGGCAAGAGGAATGCAAATTTGAGGCCGGCTTCAGCAACCTACAAGACCCTGTCTCAAAATAAAGAATAAAAGAAGGGCTGGGGAGACACAGAGCTGGGAAAAGGAAGGCAGAAAAGAGTGTGAGCAGAGCCAGAGCTAGAGCCAGAGCCAGGCGAAAAGGCTGAGCACAGAGCCACGGGGTGAGCCATGCAGGGTGGGCCCAGCAAGCCCTCTCATGACCCATGCCAGTGGGGACAGGCAGTGAGTGACTCCTCCCCTGCAGCCCTGGCAAACTCTAATCTGACCTGCTAGTCAGGGGCCTGAGAGCAGATCCCAAATCAGGCTTTGCTCAGCTTCTGACAAGGACTGGACCTTTGGAAGGCGCCTTCAACAGCAGGACCAGGTGGGCCATAATGCCTGAAAACTCCACAACCATCCTGCAGCCAAACCCAAGTGGGCCAAGGCCTCTGAGAAGTGCACAGACCACCCCAAGTGTTCAGATATAACTGTGGCTGCTGTTCAGGCCAAGAAGACCCACTCTGGCTCCTGGCACCAATCTACTCATACAGAGGTATATCAAGAGCCACTACCAGGTGGGTGAGAATGCCAACTCCCAGATCAAGTTGTGCATCAAGCACCTGGTGCCTCCAGTGTCCTTAAGCAAACCAAAGGGATGGGTGCCTCAAGGTCCTTCCATCTGGCCAAGAGCAAAGACCCTGGGATGTCAATAGCCTTCAGAAAGACCAAGAAAGTGGTCACACCAAAGAAGGCATTCAGGCCCAAGAAAGCTATGTCCTAAACTCCAAGGAAGAAGCCCAAAGCCACCTCAGACATGAAGGCCAAGAGGAAGCAGCTGCCACACCAAGAAACTCAAAACCCCAAGATTGTCAAAGCCATGCCAGTCAGGGCATCCAAGCCCAAGAAGGCCAAACCAATGAAGCCCAAAGCCAAGTCTGGTGCCACAAGGTCCAGCCAAGACAAGAGTGCCAAGAGGAGGCAATGTGGCCTTTTATTGTGGACACCCCTTCCTCCTCATTTTCTATAAACACTTTGCTCCTTTCTTTTCTCTCCATCCACCTGCGGCCCTTTGCCCCATTCTATCCTAACATTTCATGCGACAGAATTTGGACTCCTCAGGGATTGTGGAATAATTCCTTTTTCCTTAACCAGCTGTGCAAGGACAGCAACAACAAATCTCATCTGTGTGATAATGAGGATGTGATTATATTTCGTTTTGTTGATTTACTGGTAATCTTCCCATGGGGCTAGGGATTTGGGGGCTTTGTGTGTGTTGTTGGGTGATTTGTTTGCTATGACTGTAGACACGGGGGAGGAGAGAACAGGTGAGGCAGTTTGTTCTGGCTAGAGGAGAGGCAGCCCAGGAACTATAAGGGTTGTAGGAGTGTCCTTAAGTCAGGGGCCCCTTTTAGAGTTTCAGGACCTTTGCTGGTGGGGAAGGGGAGGCAGCTGCTAGCAGCAAAAGAAGGAGGTAGGAAAACTCTTCCTGGGCTGACCTCCCAAAGGGAGTAGTGGTGGCAGCCAGCAGGTGAAGGCCCAGTTTCCTTCTCACTTCCGTCAGTCTTCCCTGTGGCCTCTGTATTGTCTTACGGAAGGCGAGGAGGGCTTCCACATGACAGCTGGATGGGAGAAATTAAAGTTTCTCCTAGTTAGCTAGGAACTAGCTGTCACGGGGTGTCTTTGTGACAGAGTCTCCTGTTACATGCGGGAAGGATGAGGAGTTGGTCAGCCAGGTGCCTCGGTGTGCCCTGTGGAAACTTGAGTTTTTCTACATTAATTGTATCCTGTAAGGACTTTTTGTTGCTGTTCGCTCTGTACAAGATGTGGCTTTGCTTGGTCTGTGGGGCTCTATCCCCACCACGAGCCACATAAAACCCCCTGACCTCTCTTTACTTCTTTTTATGAGTAGTGGTAGATGGGGAGGGGGAAGGGCAGGGAGAAGACAGTAAGACATACTGCAGCAAATTTTGAATTTGCTAAGTAGTTGGGAGCGCTAGGTCTGTGTGCTTCTCTGTATACAGACATATGCCTGTCTAGGGCCAGTGCTTAATGTTTCACACTGAGAGCTGGGAGAAAAACACAGTACAGATTTTCTCTTATTTTTAATGAAATAGGAACATCACACATTTGCACATCCCTCTGCTTTTTAAAAAACAAGCATTATTTGTGCCAGGAAAATATTCACTGTTGTTATAATTTTAAAACTTTAAAATAAAATTGGAGAAGGGGGCAGGGGAGGCTGGGGATGCAGCTCCGTGGTAAATGCCCTAAGTTTAATCACTACCTCAAAAAAATTGGAGGTCTTTCATGGTTATATAATGAAAGACAGAGTGAGTGGTGCCATAAATAATGGGACCAAGCTCCTGCTACTAAACATTTTATTTATTCCTAATTCTCCCCTATCTCAGATATATCTAAAATTAATATATTAGTGTACATGTTTTTTTTTTCTTCCTTCTTTTAGATGATTTCTTAGGAAATGGGAAGCCAGTCTTAAACATAGCTGCTTGGAGGGGGTGAGACACACTCCACCCCCCCGCCCAGGGACGCTCCCTTATGCTTCCCCCCACGGAAGCTCTTTTTTCCGGTATGCCACCAAGTCTCCTCTCTCCTCTCCCCCTCTGACTCTGAGGCGGGCGTAAGAAGGGTCAGGGTCCTCTCAGCAGGCCACCCCTGAGAATGCATCTCCCCCCTTGCAGGCCACCTAGCACTACTAAGAGTTAAGTGACATGTGAAACAAATGTGCTGTGTCTCCTAGGCCCGTTTCCATCTGGACAGTGGCAGAGACCTTAAGCAGATGGAAACCAGGCTAATGGTGGCACAGGAAACAACAGAGAGCAAGCTGGGATGGCACGAATTCTTTCATGGAGGCATGGGGTGGGTGAGGGGAAGGACAGGGTGACTATCAGCTCATGAATGCTTCTTCCAGTATCCTCTTAGGGCCCTGTCATCTCTGGCTTGAATGAGCCCTAGAGCTGTGCTCACCATCTTTTTTTCACGGTGGCACACACAGAAAACGGTAACATTTGTGTCACAACCCAGGAAACAGGAAGCAGCTTGAACACAGGTGCCCACCTGGGAGCTCCAATTGCCCTGAGGCCTGAATGAACAATATCTCAGTGCCCTGGACTCTTTCAGCTCCAAAGTGTGGCTGTGCTGGTCTAATGGGTCTCCCTGATGCTGGTCAACTTCCCGTCCATTCAGCCATCTGACACCACTTCCCAAAGAGCTGTTTTCACCATGTGGCACTCCGCCCAGATACCCTTGACCTTCCCACGTTTCCCAGCTGAACATTCAAGACCTTCGGATTCTGGCATCTGCGTTTCTAGTCCCATCTCCTCTGCTCCATCCAGCCACTCACATGTGTCCCCCAGTTTCACGTTTGCTCCAGCCCCTTGTCCTTGCTCATGCTGTTCCCCCTTTTGAATATGCCTTCCTTTGACCTTCCTTCTGAACCTTGCCCCTCTCCCAAGACCTGACCCAGTCTGTGCCCCTTCCTGGAAGCAGCTCTCTCAGCCACAGTCCTTCCCTGTACATCAATAGTACTTTCCATGTAAGCCATCACTCAAGCCAAGTCACCTTTTCATGTGTGCGTGACTTGTGTCCCCAGGCAGACTGAGGGTAGACAGTGAGAAATGCACTGGAGCTCTGGAGCCCAAAGACTGTTCTGGGATTTATTTCCCCTTCTGTCAAAGTAGGGTCTAGTTCCTGGAATGGTTGTGAGGCTCACATGAGGCCAAGGGTGTACATTAACTTGTGTTCACCATGCACATAGAGGCCCAGCTCAAGCCATGGGCCATTTTTTCTCTCTACAGCATCAATCACGAAGTAGGTCCTGGGCAAACATGGTTGACTGAAGGTGTGAGTTCCTATACCTCTTGGTGTCCCGCCAAGCCCCAGGGTGCAGTAGTGCCCAGCATCCTGCCCTGTCCCCAACACAGGTGCTAGCCATTTGGTACCACTCTCTTCTGTCATCTGCAGACCACTTCCTGGAGCTGCACATGTACATGACTTCTGCACTAGGCAAGAATGACATGAAGGCCATTGGCCTGCAGATGGCCCTCGACCTCCTGGCCAAGAAGGAGAAGAAGGACTCTATTACGGGTCTCCAGACACGTACCCAGCCTGGGCGGCCCGACTGGAGCAAGGTAAAGGCTAGCTGGAACCCCACAGTGGGCAGGGGCCAATGAGGCTGAGAGTCTGAGGCAGCAGCAGGGAGATCAGGGTCAAGCAGCCAGGGGTGAAGTATGAAGTTCACATCCAAAGTTCAGAGGAGGTGTCCAGGCAGGAGTGGTAGTCAGGGAACCCCGTTCTGCTCCATCACTCGCTCACTTTGTGCCTCCCTGTTTCCCCATCTGGTTAAGAGGAAGTTGGTCTACCTGCCCTCAATGGCCTCTCCAGCCTTGAGTCCCTATGAACCAAAGCCAGAAAGCCCAGGTGGTCAGGGTCCTGGGGAAACATTAAGTCTTATTTTATCTCCTATTGCAAATGGGGAAACTGAGGCCCATGGGCAAGAAGTAGTTTGTGATCTTTCCATTTTACTTCTCAGATTGGTTTTATTATTATTACTATTATATGTTATGTATTATTATGTTTATTAATTATTATTATTTTCTTCTCTGAAAAATTGGGACACAGTCTTTGTAGATGCTCTGAGCCAGGGTCATGAGGGCTAAGGGACAGTACTTGGGAGTGGTACATGGATGTCAAAGGGACCCTTCTTCAAAAGGCAATTTATAAACACAATTTGGGGTAAAAAAAAAAGGGTCCTTACCAGGGGGAAAATAAAAGATGGTGGAATGAGAGGGACATCATCACCCTAGGTACATGTATGACTGCTCATAGGGTGTGACACTACATCGTGTACAACCAGAGAAATGAAGAATTCTACTGCAATTGTGTACAATCAACTAAAATGCATTCTGCTGTCATATATACCTAATTAAAATAAATAAATTAACTCATTAATAATAATAATAAAGAAAGAGGCATCTAGATCATAGTACATGGCCCAGGGGCTCCCGAGCAGCTGCACACAGCCTCTTGTTGCCAAAGCTGCATCAATTTGAGTGTGTTTTTCCCACAGAAGGGGGTTCTCAAGTGGAAGGCCTTGGTTTTACTTATTTCTAGCCCTAACTCCCTTCTGGGCCATGTTACAAGTTGAGCAAGTGGCTCCTGATTGAGTGGCCGGGTGGTGGACTCCACTGTGAGCCCAGCAGCTGTGCCACCCATGTTCCTCAAGCTCCTGGGTCAAATGGGGCTGCTCCTTGCTGCCTCCAGGTGGTGGCAGCACTGGTCTCTGATCCCAGCCCCACCTCTCCTTCTGCTCTCTCCAACCCTCTGACTCCAGGTGTTCCAGAAAGTGGCTGCTGCAAAGAAGGGCAAGGTGCAGGTCTTCTTCTGTGGCTCCCCAGCTCTGGCCAAGGTGCTGAAGGGCCACTGTGAGCAGTTTGGCTTCAGGTTCTTCCAAGAGAACTTCTAGTTCCCGCTTTTTGTGCTGTGCCCCAAATCCACTCCATCACTGGCTTTGTCATAGGGGTATAAGTGCCCCTGTGTGGACCAGCCTCAGACCACCCACCCAGCAGGACAAAGCCCTGGGACCACTGAATCCCAATTAACACAAAGCAGGGGGGGGGGGCCAAGGGGCAGACCCCAGAACCCATCTGCTGTGCATTCTGGGATTGCATGAGGCTGAGGAGATGAGGCTGGAGGCTGGGGCCATGAGGAGGCAGGAGGGGACTTCAGGACAGCTGCTCCTCCAAAAGTCCTCTGAGGGAGACTTCTGCCTCCCATAGTGATCCCCAGCCTACCTACTCAGCCACAACATCTCATTATGCAATTTTCAAACATACAGAAAGTTGAAAGGATTGTGCAGTGCACTGTGCGACCCACCTTCTGACTCCTTGGTTACCATTTTGCTGTGTTTGCTTTATCAAGTATGACCTGTCAGTCCCTCCCTCTACCCATCCACCAATTTATCTCCTTCTTTTGATGTATTTCACAGTAAGGTACAGATATTGACATACTTTGCCACTCAGAGAAACTTAAAATGCAGATTCCTTGGTCCCACACCCAGAAGTTCTAATCTCAAAGTTCTGGGAATGAAACCTGGAACATGTATCTTCCTAGAATCCAGTCCCATGGGGAGAGTGGGACGGCATATTTCCCTACCTCTCTGAATCTTTGCCTTCCCCCCTCAATCCCTCCCCCTTCCTCTCTCTCCTGGCATGTGGCTCAGTGTCCCTCCTTGCTGCACACTCTGGCCCCTCTCTTCTCTCTGACCACTGACCATTAGAGAGGGAAGATGGAGACACCCTCCTGGGTGCCTCTGTGGGATCATGAAGCAGATGGAGACACAGAGCGCTCAGCTCAGCCACCCCAGCTGGGTGGCCCTGGCAACCTCTCCATGTCTGTTTCTTCCTCCATGAAATAAGCTGATGACATGGGCAGGTCACAGCTGTGACGGTGAAGGTGGGCTGGGAGTGAGCCTGGCTGGAGACCTTTGCTGGCGCCTTTCCATCAGGTCATGCTGAGTTACCTGCAAGCCTGGGCGGGCACCTGACTGATGGACCAATCTCAGATCTCGGCTTTGCCATCCTGAGGCCACACACGGTTTGAACCCATTTCCTTCTGTGAAGTCTGCTCCAGCCCTCTGCATCAGGCCTGGGAAGGCTGGAAGGAAACTCTGTCACTATCTGGGACTCAGAAGTATTTGAAAGAGAGTGGCCCAACTTGAGACTGGAGAGTGTAGAGGATGTACCAAAGTCATTTGAAGTCTTGGCAGCAACACTTTAATACAGAATATCACACACACACACACACACACACACACACACACACACACGCACACTCACACACCTCTGTTTTATATTTTGTCCTGTCTCAGAACACACTTGAGCTGCAGAACTCAGTCATTTTCTCTCTTAGAGCAGATTTCCACTTGGCACAAACACACATATGCACACAGCCAGCTGTTTGAGTACCTTTTTTTTTTTGGCAGTGGTGGGAGCAGGTGGAAGAACCTTAAACAAGATTGTAAATTCCCTTGGCCGAGTGACGATGTGCCTGTGTTCTGTATTCTTTCCAGCCAGACTCCAATTGCCCACGAGGGGGCGCTGCAGAATCAGAGATCTCAGGAGGGTCTGTTGTGCAGGAAAGGGAGACTGGTTCCTGTGAGGAAATCAAAGGAAAGAGCAGGAAGGACCCCACCCCACTGCAAAGCTCCCCTCTCAGGACAACGCCTCTAGGCTCAGTCTCAGGCAGCACCGTGAAGTCAGTAGAGAGAGTTCATTTTCAAGATCAGTTTCTGCTGCTGCTGGCACCTCACTCTGCCCCTGCCTCCCCCATCACCCCCACCACCCCGCTCCGCCTGCTCCTGCTGTTCAGTTCTGTGCTTTCCTCTTTTCTCCTCCCAACAAAGTGTCCACCTGCAAGGTTGAGTGGAGTTGAACAGGTCTGGCTTGGGGACAACTCATACATAGGTCCAGGCTCTGCCCTCGGTGAACATATGAACTTAGGTGGCAAGTTCAAATATACCAGTGGCCAGCATGCTGAGCGTGTCCACCTGGATGTTTCCCAGGTGACCAGATGGGTGCCATCCCGGTGTCAACCAGAAACAAATGCATCCTTAGAGCCGACTGACTTTTCTTCTTTCAGCCAGATGTCGGCAATGCTGAGACACATCTGGGCCCAAGATAGATAAGGCTGACACAAGAGAGGAGGGAGGGAGCACCAGCTAACTGCAGGTAAAGGGAGGCGTATGGAAGGGCACACCTGACTTCCTCCATCAGGCTGGGAGCTCCCGGAGGTCAGGCCTGTGGCCCCCAAATCAAGCACAAGGGAGAATGAATGGGCCTGAAGTGGGTGTCAGTTCCCACCAGGGCAAGGGAGGGCTGAGATGGAATTGTCTTCTGCATCTAATTGTCATTTGTAATTTGGGGAACAAAAGTGCACACACAAGCTGCCTGGATGTCTTTGCCAGCTGTTCTGCTGTGACCACACTCTGACAGCCACGAAGGTTTTAGAGAAACAAATGATTAGCTGGACCTGCCCCGCCCGCTCAGCACAAGTGCAGTCTATTAATACACTGAGAGCCTGGGGCATTTGTGGGAGGGGAGGGGGACATGGGCCACATTGCAAAGTGTCACCAGCTTTGTAGACAAGGTCCAGAGCAGGGAGAGATTAGAGGCACCAGCTGAGGCTGGCTCTGGGCAAAACCTTACATGTGCGCAGTGGAAAAGCCACTGCTTTTGGGAAGTCGGAGCATGGCTTCTACTTTTGCTAGTGCCGCAGGCTGCTGCGCGACCTTGGATATATCATTTGGCCTCTCTGAACTCTCGCTTTTTTGTCTATGAAGTAAACACATTAAGGACACATGTGTTTAAATGCTTGTACATGCATAGGCATCTCTAAAAGAACACAAAAATACTTCTCTTTGCTCTGTGGGGTGGGAGTGGATAGACAGGAAGGAAAGGATTTTGACTTTTGATTTTTGTTTTGTTTTACTTTTTACCCTTCTAAGAAGTTTGACGTTTTTATGATGAGGGTATGTTGTTTTAATTTTGAAAAGAAACCCCAAATAGAATGTCATGTAAAAGCAAAACAAAGTACCAAGAATTTGATCTGATCCTGTACATATAATGAAAAATAAATAATGTATATGTATCATGTGGGAATAAAAGAAATGCACGGAAAGAGGGGTGGAAGGATGGAGTAGTCACTGTGGGAACTTTGGGGGAGTTTGTGAAGTCCCCCTTACCTTGCTCATGTACTGTTGTATTACCTGTATAATGTTCCCAATGTATAAATTTTACACCAGGCACTTCATGTACCACTCATGTGTTATTATACTTTTTTACTTATGTACTTATGAATGGGTTATGTCATTTTTTAGAAGAATCAAACAAAAGGCAGAGCTTGCCTGCAATGTCATCTATGACCCTTAGCATTAAATCTCAAGTGGAAGCATTTCAGGTATTTGCCAAGAGGAGGCCTCTCTGGTGGAGGGTCAGTCCCTTGGACACAGTGCCCCTATTCAATATGCAAAGCTGCCTGCTTTAAATGGTCTAAGTATTAAAACAAAAGACCCCATGAAGGCCTGAGGCTGCTTCAGAAGGACAGAAGAGGCCAGGGGCATTGAGGGGTAACTGTGCCAACCAGCCTCCCCGGGTCCAGACTCCTGGCGCTCTGCCTGCACTAAACAAGTACCAACGCCGAACAGCCTCCCTGACCCATAGATTCTGCTTTTTATGATCTGTCTTCACAATATGATGACTCTCTCCTTTTAAAAATAAGATTGATTCAGACAATACACTTATTTTATGAGGAAATCCATCCAAGGGGGACAAATACTTGAGATGAAGAGCAGAGATGACTGGAAGGAAACGTGATCTCAGGAAGTTCCCAGCCTCCCAACCTCCAGCCAGCAGGGACCCATCTGGGCTGCCCCATCCTACCCAGGGACAAAGAGCACCATCCTTGAACATCCTAGTTGGTGAGCATAGCCTGCTAGCCAAAGGAGAAGGAAGATAGAGAAGGAAGGAAGAAAGGAAGGAAAGAAGGAGGGAAGGAATGAAGGAAGAAATGATAAATATACCCGGGATAAATGGTACACTTCTGGGGGGAAAAAATCTCAGAATCACCCAACTGTGGCTGGATAATACAGATTAAACTTGTCTGTAAATATAACCCTGAAGAACATTCAAGAGAAGTGAATGGCTTGTCTTTGTCCCAGTGATTGGAACTGCAGCACCATCCACCAGGTGGTGGGTGTCATGAATGTCTCCACTGGGAGGATCCCCTGTTCAGCTGGTGGCCCCAGGTGGTGCCCTTGACTCCTGTCTTCTCCTGTATCCTCCTTCTCCATCCAGTCATCAAGCCCCGTCAACATGACATGCTAAGTGCTTCTCAGACCTAGTCACTTCCCCATTGGTCCTACCTTGGCTTGCTCCTACCGTGGTTTGGTCCTTAACTGGTTTTGGCTTGGAATGTGGCTACAGCCTACTAGCTGGGCCCCCTGTCTCCAGCCCCTTGCAGCTCTAATCTGTCCTACACTGTTGTGGGTCTGATCACACATCTTCCTGTTGGTGGCTCACCTCCTGTAATTATCCAATTCCTGTGTCTGCCACACAAACCCTCCCCACTAAGCATTTGATCAAGATCTACTATTTTAATAACCTGTGTTATTACCTGGCCTTTGCCTGCCTCTCATGTCTTGCCAAAGCCCATCTTGCTCTTCCTGTTCTAAGAACCATCCCCAAGGGTCTCCCTCATTTCACACCTTCAAGCCTCTGTCTCTGCAGAACCTGACATCTGGAGCATCCTTACCCACAACCAGATGGAGATTTCACAACATCATTATCTGTAATGACTTGCTTGCAGCCAGGTGCAGTGACTCATGCCTGAAATCCCAACAGCCCAGGTTGGGGTGTGGTACTGAGATAGGAGGATCACTAGTTCAAAGTCAGCCTCAGCAACGGTGAG